AAGCAGTGAACTGCTGATCATATGAGAGACATATGTTGTCCATGTGTGTGAAATCCCCTTTTGGTAAATGGAGGTATGAAATGTATTTAAGCAAAAGTCAACTTGGTCAGGGGAGGTTTTCTTCTTTTTTTTTTGCTTCAGGGCCTGAACTTGTTCGTAAGGGACAGTCATTTGGGAAAATAACATTCACTAATCAATATTCTTATAACAACACGATACTACTCATGCTAATACACCTACAGATAATTATTTTCAGACTCAGCTCTACAGAGCATTTTAACATCTTTCAGATCAATATCCTCAATATTTATGATCCACAAATGAATGTTTTGGTTTACTCTTGTGTCCTTGTTTCCAGAGGAGAGGAGTTAAAAAGAACTTGGTTTACCTCTGTAGCCTACCCCTAGAGACAGGGAGCCACAAAACCCTATCTCAGACCAAACTGTTTTAGCATTGTGGGTAAAGTAAGCCCCAGCTTCTGATCAAAACAAAAAAACTGCAAATTTACAGGTATGAAAAATGTACGACTTATGTTTCCTGTTTCCTTCAGAACATTGTAAAGTGAAGTCACAGTATAACGATGCAACTAAATATAACTGTGATGACACAAGCAGATGAAACAACATACACTCACTATTACAGACGCTGCGTGTCACATGTGAGTTTAAAAAAGAAGTATTTGATGACCCGGATTCTATCTCATGCAGTGATGTACATACATAGTTTGTAAATACACCCAACATTTAGCAGCCGTACACAAAAACCACTGTATCATCCCATCATACATCATCCTCTCCTCTCACTGTAGGTTTTAATCTACATGCTCTCTCTCTATTTTACCACATGAGGAGTTTTTCACGTCCCACAGTCTATTTCAAACTGAGCATTACTTCATCGCAGCTGCAGGAATCTCACTTATAACTTGTAAACTGTTTATTTAATTGTTGCAACACAGGCCTTTTTCTATGAATTCTGAAAATAATAATCCGCTGCTGCTATTCAAGCCTCCATATTATGTAATTTTAACATTCACCTCTCCCACAGTGAACCAGCTGCCGTCCGTCCGTCCGCCCCCACACACAAACACAAACCTTGTCTACATTGCATCACTGCTGTTACCTGTTACTTTGCAGCGAGTACAGAAAGACTGTGCTTTGGCCTACGTTTGTGGAAACGGCTGCTGAATATCAGCACGTATCACAGGATCAACATAACAGGCCATGAGGAATTCTTGACAGTAAACTGCATAGTCATCGAGGATCTTGTCACTACTGATCCATTTGTTCAACTTAAAGACCAAATGCAACTAAATGACATGCACAGGCCATACACAGCACAGTGAGGATGATGTTCACACTTTGTTGAATTGCCTTAAAGAAACTACCCATTAAGAAAGTGAAAAACACATAAATCAGTTATAAATTGTGTTCCCTCACAGCAGCACATAGTTTTTAATCATTCTAGTATGAGAGCGAAGCCTGTCCCACATAATAAGCTCGCCCCTCCCTGTGTGCCTGATGGTCCGAAGCTCAACTAGAAGCCATTAGTTGCAACATGAGATATGAGAGCTGGCCTGGAGTTCTGGCTTCCCCCCAAATCACAGAATGTACTTGAATGAATTCCAGCAGCAAAAGTTAATATGGGCCAGAGTGGATTAGTGTATCTGTGTCTCAGATTCCATGTGTCTACAGAATCAAGTAATCTTCCCTACACTGTTTTCAATGTTCTATTTTAGTGTGACTCACTTCTCTCTGTTGTTGTAAAGACACTTTTAAGAGGTGAAGTCCGACTTTAAGTGAAAACACCAGAGCTAAAATGTACTACTGTGTACGTGCTGCGCCGTTTGACAATGTTTGAATTACCTTTACTTCTGAGGACACTAGAGTTATGGCCCATGAGGTGACAATACCAGTTGGTTGGGTGGTCCAACACCTCGGTCCAGATAAATATCAACACCTTTTTAATGGATTGCTATTAGGGTTGTTTCAAAGGACTTTGGCATCCCTGGGCAAAAAGGACCTGGGGGGCCCTACACAGTTGTTGTTGCTGTGGACTAACATAATTAGCCATTGGGGGGGGGCGGTTTGAGGCCCGAGGCAATTGTCGACTTTGTCAACCTTCCTTCAACACCTCTGATCGCCTGATTTGTATATGGTACATTATTTGGTACAGACTCAAATATAACAACAACTTTTCAAAGGATTGCCATTAGATTTGTTTCGAGGGACATAAATTGATTTGTCCTTGCTGTAGCAATCAGCCATTCTCAGGGGGCCCTCTCAGTTTTGGGCCACAGGCAAATTGCCTGCTTTGCCAACCTTGTTGCAATCAAGAGTTTTTTGACATTCATGATCCCAGAGGTTAAACCTTGATAAGTTTTGTGATTCACTGACTTCTAAATACCTGCAAAACTAACCCGATTCTCATCTCCCTCAGTTGTAGCCTGTGTTTTATTTATAGTGCTAGTTAGCAAAATGTTAATATGTTAGACCAAGGTGTTGAACATGGTAAAAATACAGCATGTAATATTAGCATTTAGCTCAAACCACCGCCGTGCCTGATTACAGCTTCACAGCTGCTATAGTGGCTGTAGACTCCCACTCATTCACTGTTTCTAACTTACTTGTGTGTCTGTTTGCACACGTATGCACGTCCCCGCTTTTAGCCCCACACCACACAGGGTGGGGCTAAAACTAAGCACATGGCTGTTCACATCATTAGCATTGATCTGTCCTTCTAAAATGGATTACAAACCAGCCGGCCTCCACTCTGTGTAGGAGTCAGACTGACAACAGAGATACATTTAATTTTCTTCACAATCTATTGATTAAAACACTATTTGTTGTGTTTTCAAGTGGAATTAAAGGAGTGGGAGGTTTGTAGTCATGGAAACACTGATGGACAAAACTTTACGGGACGCAGATTCAAAGCATTCTATTCGCACTAATGAAGGAATAGGGGTGGGGGGAGGGCATGCTAGGTCCCCAAAAGTGAAGCCAAAGTGTCTTGATTGCCCCCTTGTGGTGGCCTAACAGGACATGGGCTTTTTCTCAAAGATGCTTTCTGTCTTTTTAGGTCGTTCTTATCACAATGATGTTTGTAAAATAAATTGACACTAAACTGTGTGAAGATGTTACATCAGTGTTATCATCTGTGACAGAATGACATCATCAAGACGTTGTTTATCATGCCGTGTTTTACACGTCAAAGAAAGTGAGATATTAAGAATGTTGCAGCTCATGGTATTCTGATATCCACAGATTAGAGGACGAGGGTTAACACTGTGTGGGTTGCAGCCATGATGATATATAGGCCTACAGCTGCAGTGAAACATCAGACTGGGGAAATTGCTCCCTGCTGAGAAACAAGTCAAGGATGCAGCGCATGGTCAATTAATGATAATAAATGAGTTACCACTGCACCCCCTTCCCCCAGGGGCCAACCCCATCCACAAGCTCTAAGAGGATTTCTTCCTTTTCATTCCTCCATTTAATATTTTTTGCTTAGTAATCAGTCTGTGGGGAGACCACTCCATCTGCACCAACAACACTCTAATCGTGTATAAAGACAGTTACTGAGGATCATCAGGGACTTAAAGGGCCCAATATGCCAAAAGAATGTAGGGAATATTAATTGGGGAAAGCACCTGCAATGTGATTTATAAATGCAGGAAACAAATGATAGATTAGAATTTAGTCTAAAATACAAGCGGAACAAAGATTAATGTTCTTTATTTTACTGTTTGGACTTAGATACTAGTAATCTGCATGAAAGAGGCAGTTTAAATATGCAGCTTTATCAGCTTCGCCTTAATCTCCAGAGGATTTCCGTTCACTATGTTGCACCACATCAGATCTCTGTATCTGTGCTGCATACATGTTGCATAACACAGGGCCTATCTAAGCAGTGTCCGCCCAGCACACAAGTGGGAGCATACTGCCCCCTGTTGGCAATACACTGTACAGCAAAGAAATATAGAGTATACACCTTTTTGCATCATTACATAAAAACTGAATAATAAAAGAAAATTTGAACATTTGCTTTCTTAACATCTGCACTGTTTTACTAAAAGCTAATTTTTAAATGTAAATTTAAATTTGTACAAACTTCATAATTCTTGAAAACAATGTTCAATGGAAAAACATGTAAATACATTTAAGGTTGTAAACTTATTTGTCCACTTAAATGTGGAGATATTTTCAGTTTTTTTGCATGTTCAGATGACATGTCATGTTTAAAAGACTGACAATAAGTGGAATTTATTACATTTAAGTGTACAATTTGAACAATGGTTTGTTTTTTTGTCCAATTCCAACCGATATACTTTTTTTTTTTTATTAGATAGCAATTTTACTTTTTTTGCTAAATTATATGTGGAAATCAAGGGCACATAATGTTAACATTGTAACTCATCCTTTAGTCAATTCAATTTGAAAAAAAGTAAACTTAAAAAAAGAATTTATTCTATTTTAACAGCTTTTTCAATGGTTGTAGAGATGTTTGTAATCGTAATAGGATTAGAAGCAATTGAGTTCAATATTCTAACCCACAGGTAAATTGATTTACTTATCAATTTACCTGTGGGTTACTTATTTACTTATCAAAAATACTTGGTTAGTATTTTTTTCAGTTACAATAAATGGAATTACACTGAAGTGTACCACTTGAACACTGCTCGTTATTCAATCAATTCATACAAAAAAATAAATTAAAAAAAAATAATTTTAAAACATTACAAAATTACAAATTACTAAATATTATGGTTCTTTTGTCAAAAATTGAAATCTCAGGTATCAGCAGGTATTAAGTCCAGTATTCTGATACAGGTAATCTTAGTCATTACAAGCAGTGTGCATCACTTTCCTGTCACAGTTTGCCGAGACTTATAGTAACTGTAAAATCTACTGTACATTGTCTGCTGTCATACTTGTGAATAATAAGCAGTATATTGATTAGCTTTTTTACATGCGAGGATAAACAAAAATTATAGAGAATAATTTATAATTCCATTTTATTTTCAGTATTACGCAACATTAGAAGTATAAATATCTGTTTTAATATACAACATCTATGACATCCATAGAGCTTTCCTTGAGCAAAATACAAAACTCAAAACACTTTTATTGCACATGTTCTAAAAGACAAACCAATGTAAGCGAGTTCATCTAATACTAGTGTTGCACAGAGGAGGAAAAAAACAAAAGACAACCGAGGAGACGAGCAGACAAAGAGGAACCTGACGTGAGAAAAAGACATTGATTACGGCACAAACAAATGTTCTCATAACAATCGGTGGTGGCAGGGGAGCAAAGTCTCACACTACTATAAACAACATCATCTGTGACACAGAACAGAGATTTGGCAAATCAACAATATACAAAATATACATCCATGATGCTTTGTAAACAAACATTGAATGTGCTTCGAGGATTTTAAATATCAGTCGTCACAGAAAATAAGGAAAACCTGCATGTTTAATTGTTCAAATAAAAGTTAGTGATTCGTTTCAGTGGGGAATCCATAAACAGGTTTCAGTTCCAATTGTCGTCTTTACTCACCTTCTGGACTGACGACTGGCAAACATTAAGGTGCATTTATCCTTTATTCACAATACATTAGCAATACACTTATAAGATCTAGTGCAGGTACACATCAGATTCTTTCAGCGTTGAAGTCTCTGCTACCTCACGTGTCATTCTCGGATGCAGATAAACTATATTCTGTGTCATGTTAAATGAAGTATTTTCTCTTTGACTTGTCAACATTGAGTATAGGTTATTGTTATTATATAGCCAACACGACAGAGCAAATACTGCATTACATACTTAGTGTCCTAGACTACTTTCTGGATGTCATTTATTCAGGGTTTGTAATGTAAAGGCATCTACAGAAACGTGTGTAAATTGCAGAAAGTGAATGCTGATATATGACGGCCTATGTGTATAGTACCAAGTATTTGCACATTAACATCAAATGAATGTTGCGGATATGAACTATGCAAATAATCAGGATTCCTTATATAAAATCTTCTGCTCATTACGAAGAGTCTGAAACACAAACACGACATTTTTAACAACACTGACTGAAGCCTGACATCAAAGCTCTTTGAAACATCGACAGTGAAGCACTCTGGGAACTCGCTCTTACTCGCCATTGAGCTGATCTCACGCTACACAGATGTAACGACTGATGATGCCCAGAGACTGTGGAAAACAAAACACTTGACTGCAGAAACCGTTGGCGAACGTGTGCGGAGCTGCGGGTTCGTCTCATTTATCAGACACAATATTTCATATTTTACAGTCGTCATTCTACAAGCTGCTGCAGGCAGCGATCACGCCATCAGCGGTAAAGACATTCCTGGGAAACGCAGACAGCCCTCACAGTTTTCTTATAATAATGCTACATTTTTTTTGAAATAGCCCAGTGACCCCCTCGTGCCTTTTCTTATGTGTCTTCAAGTGAATTTTGGAACATGTCAGGAGGAGGGTGCCTCTGATGGGATACATCACGTTAGCTTAGTTATCGAGCGGATACTCTAAATACAAACATGACACTGCAAAAATCTATACATATGATACAAACAACAATCATGAAAGCCCATGTATCCCAGTTTTACAGTGTTATCATATATTTTCACCATATTGCATAAAAATCAAAACTATATGTACAGATGTCAGAGGAATGTGAATAAACACCACATCTTGCTAAGAACAGCACATTTGATTTCCCATAATTCTAAGGCCCCTACACTAATTCATGATTTCTGAGATTATTCTGTGTTTTTTATTTTTTAAGTATTAGGTGAAAAGCACAGGCATCACCTCTGAGTACCGCTGCACAAAACTTTAAAAGTGTCTGGTTTTACCAAACAGACACGTGATACATTTATATAACTGCTGAGCAAAATCATGTGGTCTACTGCATTAAAACAAGTTCAACATCAGGTCCTTCAGGTCTCGAAGTAAGAGTGCAATTCAAAATCATTTATGGCACTGACTACAGTACGTCTTAACCTCTGTACGGCTCCTCTATATGGCCTCTGACAGACTGATTGCACGAAGCATTCTGCGACGAACACCAACTTCCAAACATTCGCTTAAAAGTGACTAAATTCAGAAAACACCAGAAATGATCGGTGACATTCAGAACTCTAAACATTTACATATGTTGTCATATCTCATAAGACGCATCCGCCTCTTTATCAGCGCGGAACAGCTTGCCCGGTCCTACAAAAAACAACCAAAAAACAAAGGCATGATGACGTTTGTACAAACCGTTTCTAACATTTTATTACATCTGGATTCTGTGAGCTGACGGCGTCAGCTCCTTGCTCTTTACTTTTTGTTGCTGGAGCTACGTGGCGACTCCTTCTGCTGCTTGCACCTGCCGCCATCTTTGTCTGAACTGTCTTTCTGTGCGGCAGCAGCGGCTCTGGATGCGTCTCGTTTTGTGTTTTTCTGTACGGACGCGACATCCTGAGCCATTTCTTTTTTCTTCCTGTCAGCCAGCTCCCTGCGGCTGGAGGAGGCCAGTTTGTCAGGGGTGGTGGTTTTGGTGTCCGGGCCCTTGTGACTGTCTGGTTTGAGCGCGTCAGCTTTGGATATCTTAGCTACCGTCTCCTGGGCTGCACATGTGGGGAGCCTGGATGAGGCGGCTCCGCTGCTTTGTGAAGGCGTTTCTTTCTTCACAGCGGGTTTTGGCAGCACAGGCTGAGTAGAAACATCCAACAGTGGCCTGAGCTGCTGCTGCTGATGTGGAGGAGCAGCATGAGGGGAGTTAACGTCTTTTGGTTTTGAGTCGTGATGGTCTATAACCACTGGCGCTTGGTATTTGGGTGAGGGGTCTTTATGTGTGGCATCAAGACTTTGTTTCACAAACTGGGCCGAAGCCAGAGAAGTCTTAAGAGTCGCTGATGAAGGGACAGTTTTCTGAGGGAGAGGTTTTGGCTTCAAGTCAGTGTTTTCTTTTCCTATAACAGCTGTGGTTGCTACAGAGCTTTTGGGCTGGGTCTCTCTTTGCTTCATGTCAGAGGCAATGGAAGAATGTGTCAGCTGCGCCGATTCCTCCCGCTTCACGTCAGCTCCGGCAGACGGCAGCGAGGCGTCTTTCCGTTTAGCGTCATGGGTTATTTGAACGTTTGCAGTCGACAGCGCAGACTCTTTAGACAGATGTCTCTGTTTTGAATTTGGACTGACCTTTACGAGTGAGAGAGGAAGAGCTACACTGTGAGATTTCACTTCAAGTGGTTTCGACTCCCTCTCTGTCTTCACAGCGCCGTGTGGAGCAGGTTGCGGCCCAGTTGCAGTTGCTGAAGCGGAAACTTTTGGTTTCGTTGAAAGAAACGCAGTGTTTTCTTTCACAGTGACAACAGTGTTCTCTTTTTTAAAGGTGCCATGCTCTGACTCAGATGATTTGGTTAGTGTTTTTACAGCTGGACAGTTTTTAGAAATCTGCTCTGAATTTTTCACGTTCTTTATCTTTGCTGGTACAGGATCGTCTTTCTTCTGCAGTGACGTGCTGTTGCTCTCCCTTTGACCAACAAACACAGTGTTATCCTTTTTATTCAGGCTCAGTGGGACTTCTGCAACGTTTTGTGATGAGGTGTTTACTGCAGGAACGTCTCTCTTAAGCAACCCTTTTGAAACCGTGGCACATCTGTTGATTTCATTCTTAGAGCCTGAGCTTCCTGTATTAGCGAACACTTTCACAGACTGCACAGCGTCATGACTAACGGCTCTCTCGCAGCTGTCCTGTGCTTCTGGTTTCAAACCGCAGGATTTCTTGTCATGTGCAGAAGCAGAAGTGAATGCAGATGTTGTGATAGAAACCTGAGGTTCTGGATTTGATGAGCAGATGTTCGGAGGTTGCAGTTTTGAAAGCGCATTCTCTGGAACGTGTGCAGATGCGGGGTTGTTCTGTATATTAACCATCGAAGCAGAGGTTACGTGTCGAGTAGTTTTTTCTGGTTGTTTCTCGCAGCCCTGACGCTGACCTGTATCCACACCAGAGTTTATACTCGGCTTCAGTGAGACCAGGGACGCGTAATTGGCAGCTGCAGCTGGAGTCTCCACTTGTGCAAGGGCAGGGGAGCTTTTTACCTCTGTCTTTGCTGAAGTGAAAGAGACAACTGTCTTGGAGCTGGCACTACTTTGTGTCACTGTGTGTGCTGTGACCTCCTGCTGCTCCACTTCATCCTCCTGATCTTCATTGCTGACTTCCCGTATGGACGGTGTTTTTCCACAGGAGGAGAAGTGGGAGCTGTGCCGAGGGCCTCTGTGTTCGTGAGCCAGTGACGAAGTGGCCTTCATACCAGCCCTGCTCTCTTGTTTAATTGTAAATGTTGAGGCCTCCACTTTGGTGGTTGGAGTCTTTAATAAGTCACTGTGTCTGTCATGTGTTTTCTCATCACTTCTGCTTGTTTTAACCTCGGAGGGGGTATTATTCAAATGCTCTTTGGATACAACTATGCTATTTAGAGAAGAAACAGCTTCAGGGCTCGGGGAACATGTCAGGGGGCTCTTCAGCTTGTCTGCAGTTTTCAACTGGGGAATGGTTAACTGTCTCTCAGTGGGGCTCTGGAGCCAAATTGGAGGACTTGCAAGAACAGAGTCGCTTGTGTTCTCTGTCATCTTGGATAAACAAGTTTCTGTTTTGGAGACTCTTGGCCCAGAGAGCAGGCCAATATCCAGGGTGCCCTCTAGAGGTTTGAGAGAGGAGACATGGCGTCCTTCAAGTTTATATTCAGACGATGTCTTTCGGAGGGGAGACTCTCCCGAGGAGATGAGCTGCAGTTTTTCCACAGCGCTCTCTCCTCTACCGGAAAACAGCTTTGGGGTGAGACCATCAGGGCTGGAGTGGACACTGCCCAATCCTGCCTTCATGTGATCGTGAGACATGGCTGTGTCCAGCTGGAGGCTCTTTGACCGGGTGGAACCAAAGTGGAGGTTGTCATGGATGCCGGCAGAGAGTCGACAGATGCAATCTTCTCGGTCTTCGAATGACAATCTCTTCCTTGTGAACTCGATATTGGGAGCTTTAAAGTCCAGTCTGTCTGGCTTCATATTGTCTTTACCAAGCCTGCAGTGCTGCCACTCTGGGTGAATAGAGCAGAGAGACGTTCGGAGTCCTCCCTCGTTTTCACTGCAGCCACCAGATGGTTCAGTGATGCCCTCAGAGACTCGTGTGCTGAGTTTCTTATATAGAACATCTTTAAGGGTGGTGCTGGCAGCTTTAGCTTCCGGTGGGCAACACTCTGTGCTCTGAGATTTGTTTTGAACTCGGCCCATACAACTTTCATCCCTGTCATCGCCACACAAGGGGGATGAGTCAGATTCTCGCAGGGCATCTTGCTTCTGTAGTGACTCCCTCCTCTCCGACCACTCCTGTCTCTTCACAACCATCTTGGACTTCAGTTTTTCCTTGTCGAGCTCCTCTACTGACTCCTGCCAGCCCATCTTGCGGCAGTTTGGTCTCTTTAAGCAGCCCTGCTCAACAGGCCGTACACGGGTCATTGCTTGTGGCTCGCAGGCAGTTTCTTCCACACTCTGCAGGATGGTGTAATCCCGCTCCCCAGGCCTCAGCTCCTCATCCTGCACCTCTTCTTGGGTCACTTCCAGGCTGTGTTTTCTGGGACACAGGTGCTTCTTGTCTCCTGTGTAAGAGGGGGACAGCTTCTCCTCAGACTGGACTCGTTTTAGCAGGGGTGACCGAGGCGGCTCAGCACTTTTGGGGCGTACAATGTGGCGCACAATTGTGGGTGGGGAATGTATTTTGGCAGGGAAAGCTTGAGTTGTCTTGGAAATGGCAACAGAATGTCCACTGAGAAGGGGAGAGGGTGAGCGCTGAGGTGATGTCGGCTGTGGGGTGGGTGAAGGTGTGCGAGCCAAAGGAGAAAGAGGAATGCTACCAGCAGACTTGCGGCGCCCCTGGCGGAGCCGCTGACCCGGCAGCTTGGGGCCAAGGCCGTGGAGCGTGCTGGGACGAATGTGGCCGGAGCCTGCCGGGGAGTTGGGAGCGCTGGAGCTGGGAGAGCTGCTCTGGGAGGAGTTGCCACCTGGTGGTTTAAGAGAATAAAAACAGAGGAGAGCAGTAATTAAGTATAGTATATGGAAAAAAAAAAACAATATTCATGCTCATCAAAATAAGCTAAGATCTCCACCTGACTGGGTGAAATCTGGTGTGGGGCGGAGGGCAGCGGTAGGGGAGCGAGGGGAGAGACTGTGGGTGGGGGAGCCGGGGAGACTCTCACCAGATGACAGAGAATGGTTGAGAGAAGAGAAACTGCGGCTTGTATGCAGGAGAGGAGAGGGCTGCATGGCAAAACGCCTGAACAGGGAGCGACGCCTGGAAAGAGAAAAACAAATTAGTTCACTCTGAAAACTGAAAATTCCCTTTTTTATAATCCCTTCATCAAAGAACAAAACCCCACAAATTATAATAGTTACTAAAAAGGACTCTAGGTAGAGCTAATACGCACTCTAATACACACTCTAATATTCCTTCAGTGTTGTTCTGCCCCCTAGAGGCCACAAGGAGGCATAGAAGTATCCAGACACTGAGATCACATCTTTTACTCACCTCTTCAAAACTATTTGTTTTTCTACAATGCACCAGATATACAGAAGTATGAGCACAGCAACGTTTATCCATTTTGCTAATTGGATTTGAGATATGAGTTCATTCAGCCAAGCTTCAGACTTTGGGCTGACGATGTTTCCATGTGCAACACACAAACGACTCACATGTTTAGACATCAAACCGTGTGTATATATTTTGAAACCACACATCTACTGTACAGAGGATGAAAATCTGTGAGTTTAGGATTTGTTTACCTTTCTGGTGTTTTCTCCTTCTTGGGTTTCTTGGCACATCTGACCATCTTGCTTCTGTAGCTGTTCCTCCGAGCTGGACCCGTTTTTATTGACGTGTTTTCAAAGGGGGTTGTGGAGATGGCCACTTTACTACCACTCTGAAAAGGAAGGAGACGCCGTGTATCAACAGGACACTTTCTATCCAAAGTAATGAAGTTGTTAAAACATCAAAATTGAGATCAAACTACTCAATTGTTCATGTTTTTACTTAATTTGTGGTAACAGTCAGATTGGTAATACATTGTGTATAGTAAATATGCATCCAATTTCCTGAATATATAAATTATGACTGTCAATCTATAAATAGTAAGTATTGTATCGTCTGAAGTTCAAAGATGTTTTCAGAAACAAACAGCTCCAGCTAATTCTGGACTTAGTTACTGACCTTGCAACTGATCAGTCACTGGGTTGTAAAATTTCAAATGAAAAGCTACACTCAGTAATTTTCCCACATAAACTTCAGCATCCACTGGTCCTTACACGAATAGGTTGGATAATTCAACTGATATACACTCAATTCTAAATTACATTATCAATTACATTATCCACGCACCATGAAGAATATCATTATTACCTGAGGTGTAGTGCATTAGTAGAAATTTATGGCCTAAGGCAGTAGGAGATGAGTTTTACAGCTCTAGTTTCATGCATGTGCAGTTCAACACTTTTATGTGATTATACAGAAAGTTTGCAGTTAATAACTTTTTCTGGTATTTGTGTTTCGAGGAATTGAAAACTTCAAGTCAGCACTGTCTGAGAAAATTGACAAAATCTGCCTTTGTGCAGTCATCGGCTCTGTCTGTCTCAAGAGCTTAACAATGAGGACATGGTGGCAACACTAGAGGAAGATGTAGCTTCTTAAAGGATGGTAAGGAGACAGGCTGCTGAATTCAAATGTGGCAGAGAGAACCTGTAAGAGGATCCTTATATCCTGGAGAGTTGGTCACCATCACTGCTCCATTAACCTTATCAATCGGCCCTTGTATTATTTATAATTGATTAACTGCAGGTTAAAGATAAATACATGTTCTCATTTACCTTGAGGAGGAGCTCCACCACTTCAGTGTGGACCAGACCGTGGACTGGTTCTCCGTTGACATGAGTAATGAGGTCTCCAGCTTTAAGTCCAGCTTTATGTGCAGGTCCACCGTCCTCTACATTCTGATTGACAGAGACAAGAGACATTTATTATGATCTGTTGTCTTCACAGGGATTTATAGAGTATTTAAGACATTTGTAGTTCTGTTTAGAACATGGGAAAAAGTTATACAGTTAACTTTCAGCTCTGATGTGGTTCATATTCCTGTGAACCACATCCATGTATAAGAATAGAACTGGTAAACTCACCAGGGCTCGATTAACCGCCCCTTGCAGCTTACTGATTAGACTATTAACCGTAAAGGTTAGAGTGGGCCTTACCCAGACCATGTGATAGACAGTGTAGATGTCCCCGTCACAGGCATACACCCGAATTGCCCTCAGCGTGAAGCCAAACTTCTTCCCAGAGCTGTGGATGACGATGGGCTGCCGTGGGTTGGTACAGAGGGAGGAGTCTCGGCTGGGAGAGGAGTCTCGTGAGGACAGGTCTGATGAGAGGGAGTAAGGGGACAGGGGGCTGGCCAGCGGAGACACCCCGAAGATATCTGGAAGAATAAGAGATGATCAGCGCCTGAGCAGGTTCTTTTATTTAATCGATCACTCTGGCCCTCGAGTCAGCAGTGAGGTGTTGCTACAAAGCTCATGAGCCGGGCTCATTCTACTCCTGCTGTGGGTGACGCTAAAGGGATTTTCTCTCTCCCAGCGAGACCTCTTGCTCCTGCCCTGCCTGTTTACTCCCCTTGTCAGCAGCTTGTACTCTGCAAATAGCTCACAGCCACTCTGTAAAATGGAACTCACAGCCGGTGAGTGGGCCAATTTCACACAGATCTGTAATCTGCCTTCATCTCTTTCAGCCTGTTGCTCTTATTGTAATTCTTGAAACTCTATCACTCTGACAGTTTAGCTTTAATAAATTGGAGATCATTTTTCAGACAATGTATGTGTGTCTTTCTGTATGTCAATGCACGTTCTTCCACTTACCTCCAGGGATCATCAGAGAGAGGGTCCCAGTTGACACAGACTTCGGGACTTTAGCCACAGCTCCGGTCTTCTCTGCAGCGCTCTCAGGCCGCAGAGAGCTGCTCTGAGCACCCTGGTCTGCGGAGGTTTGACTGGAACAGTCGGGGCTCATCATCTCTTCACCTCTGGGTGTCAGCTGGTCCAGATGTTCTGAGAAGCTACCTAATTATTACAGACAAACAAAATTATACTCAATATTTTTTTTAGTGATCAATTATAGGGAAACAAAATGTCATTACCTCCACCAGGGAGGTTTTGTCTTCACCCCTGCATTGTTGGTTGTTGGTTTGTTTATTTGAAGATTACACAAGAAGTACTGGACGGATTTACCATGACATGAGTTGTGATTGATAAGAACCACTTTCATATCTGACTGATAAATATAAAGCTACAGTGGTTTCAGCTTAGCACAAAGACTGGAGAGAGGGAAAAGATAGTCTGGCTCTGGAGTTAAGCTGATCAGCTATTGGCCCTAGCTTCAATTTCACCCTGCAAACAAGGACCTCTTCTTCTTAGTCTCAGAAAGTGAGAAAAGCAGAACAGATATGTAGTGCTTTGTCTTCCCCGGCACCTTACAACTTATTGATTTTTCATGCATGTGTATAAAATCCCAGAGAAATATAGTGCGTATTTCTAAACACTGTCATTTCGTACCAGAGAGTGTGGCTCCACTGTGGGTGCTGCCTGGAGTTGTAACATCAGGCTCATCTTGCGGCAGCTCTCCGATGGAGAAGGAGGTCTTGCTGGGGTCACCGAGGCCTGAGGTCTCATCTCCTTCACTCTCAGCGGAGATGGCAAACTTTGGCAGCAAGCTGTTGCGGGGGCCTTGATTCATATTGTCCGTGTCTGTCGAGTGGGACAATGAAGGCCTGAACGAAGGAGAGACAAGATTCTCATGAGATGAAGAGATCCTGAATCTTTGTAAGAATGAAATGTTGTTGAATTTACTGATATCTTACTCTTACAAACAGTTTTACATGACAGTAATTGTTTAATAACTTTGTATAATTCCTGCTAGATTGGAAGTAGGTATACTTTTTATCATAACTCTAAGTATTTTAATGTTGTTGAAGCGAAAAGGTTAGTTTGCCTCAAATGTCTTTTGGACCATTTGCATTAAACTGGTTGGGATCACATATAACCTCAACTGATCACTGTATGTTGTTTATGGATTCTAACAATAATCTTGATGGTGAACATACATTTCATTAAAGTCTGGCGTCCAGCTGGGAGAGTCCACAGTCAGTGGGCTCTCACTCTTCTTCTCCTCCGTCTCTCCTTTTTCCTCCAGGTGCCCACGAGACAGATCCAGGCTGCTGTAAACCTGAACCCCCCCCACAGAAATAGTCACATTAGTACATGCGAGCTATAAATGCTAGAAGGTTGGAAACACACTATCTGGTTTAGAATAAGTTACAAAGATAAAGGCTGTTATCCTGTACGCAGGATGAAAAAGTAATCATGGCTGGAGCTGTTAACATTTGCTTTTGAGGGGGCATCAGAAACACTATTCTGTCTGTGTCAATGTAGACTTTATTACGTCTAACACAGAGGCACAGAGTTCAGGTGCAGCTGAGGAGAAGGTTCAGCAAAGCTCAACACTTCCTCTGAGATGCTGCTTTTCTAATGCTTTGTTTTGATGTGAGAGGGGAGCATACTGCAATGCAGCACAAAGACTCCAGGCGTGTATGACTGTATTGTGTTCCACATCACAGAGGGGGAAAGAAAAAAAATCTTAATAGCAAGTGGAAAATATATGCAAAGCCGAAATCTACGCTTAATACTGTAGGGGTAAAGGGGAAGCTGGGAGACATGAATTTGCATACGACATACCAATTGCTCATGTTTTCTTTCCCACGAGAAAAGGGTCAAGACAGATGAGGGCATTGACTCATTTACATCACTAACGTCTTTGGCAGTAATGATGATGCAAACGTGTTCATGTCAGTCTAGACGCACCTTCGAGAATCTGTGAGAACAGGAGGAGAACTGTCGCAGCTCCACATTGAAGTCTTCATCGTTTGTATCCTCTTCCTCTGTCTCAAGGTGATGGTATCTCTCAGAGCGAGCTGGGAATGATGGGAAGTTTAGATTTCAGGTCGTTTTTATTGCGCTCAGTTATTACAGGTTATTTGAAGTGCCATGAGGTGATTTATGCAGAGGAAAATGGAATTTAAGGACCTTGAACTTCAGGATTTTTTACTCGATTTGCATTCTCTTTCTTTCCAGGCTTTTAATAAAGTCACTACGTGTCTTAGACAGGCTCTATATGAATTGTATTTATTTGTTGGGTGACTCAAAAACAACTTGACAAATTGACAAAACCTTGACTGAAAGGATTCTGAGGAAATGTTCTTTCTCTTTTCTGATGTGCGAGATAACTCACTGTCAAAATAGCTGGTGTCATCTTCAGACTCCAGCTGAGGGATGAACTCAGCCTTCTGCCTCAGCAGCCCGTTCCAGTCCAGGTTGTGGAAAAACTGATGCTGCTTGACTTCAGCAGCTCCACCTGCAGACAGTATAAATATAATTTATTACTAGTTTTAATATCATTTTCAGGACATATTTTGCTCGTGAGGAAAGAAAACACACACGGCACTGACATTGAACTCTGTCAGTTAGACACAGGAGGTGAAGAAATGCTTATGCTATGTTTTCCTTTTCCCTCGTGGCTGCAGGCCAAAACCGATGTCATGACCATAAATTATGCAGTACAATTTCCTGCCTGTGACCTTTCGTGGAATAGCGGGAGCCTTTGTGAATGGCAGCCAGGCGAGGGGGGGATCTAGATGAACACGGAGGTCCAGCTGTCTGCATGGTGCACAGGCTACATGCATCCCCTCTGATTAAAAGCTTTTGTCCCGGGTCATGGCCACGTTTATAGTCTGCAGATTTACACTTTGCCTGTTCATGCATGGAGCTAGATTCATGGACTGGCAAGGTAATAATTGCAATTGATCAAAAGGAGGAGGTGAGGAGACCACAGGATAAACCGCTCTGCTGCTGGATGACCTCAATTTCTTCCCCGGTGACTTGGAATAATGAGCGGTGCTGAGGTGGCGCTAACGGTCACATGAGAATTTATGGTGGCCTGTCGAGTCCTAGCCGAGTTACTGCCGGTGCCACATGTCCTTTGCTTTTTCCTGTGCTCTTTTTTTTCTTTTTACCTGCTCCCATCCGTTCCAAAGGGATCTGTCTGAGCAGCAGGGTAATGAGCTCCTGAGCGTCCAGAGGTGGAGAATCCTCTCCTTCAGGCCAGTTAATCTCATCTGGAAAGACACGACACATGCAGCTTGAATCAGAAACACTCCACATACATTACAAGCAGCGCGTGGAGCTCAATTTGATCATCATAACAAGCATAAATGTACGTAAGGTGACAAAAATTCAGAATGCTTTTACTCATTCTACAAATTAAAATGTATGTTTTAGTTTTATACATTTTCCTAGTGATGACAACTGCAACACTCTCACTTCAAAACTGCTTCACCAGCAGAGTCAAATCAAAGCTGGTAGGCTGTAAGCATAATGTTGAGTGAGATGATTTACATGTGCTCTAGCTATTAGAGAAAAGCCACATGGTTAAGCAATGAGAAGGGGAGCAGAGCCCGCCTGTGCCATGCTGATTGTCGGCTCTGTGCACCGTTTGTCCCCCATTTTAATCAAATTTGGGAGGGGAGCTATGAATATGTATGTGAGGCCTGAGGCCACGGTGGCATGCATTCAGTGTGTGCAGGCCCCTTTAATTAACAGTCACTCTCAGAGGCTTGGTACAGTTTGATTGAGGGAATACCAAATCGGTCATGGCATGCCATTCATTTTCATGGCACAGATAGAGGCTGTTATAAAACAATTCATCTGAGCCGCACCGCTGACAAGACAAAAGCTCCTATTTTGAAGATAAAGATTTTCTCCGCACAGTTGTCAGCATGGGACAATAAGAGAACAAAGTAACATCATCATAATATAAAAACTTGTGGTCTAAAGTCAAGCTAAATCACTTACTGCCATCTGTTTTCTAGCGGCCCACAGGGAAATTTCAGTCTTTGATGAATTGAGAAGAACACAGCAACTAATTCCATGTGGTCAAATGTTTAATTCATATCTTCGTGAGGTTTGGGAATTTCTCCTGATGTGCTCAAAAGAGCATCTGTGCCAGATGCTGTGATACTTTGCCTAAATCACCGCTAGCAGCAGAAAACGTCACGTTAAAGTCTGTATTCAATAACGTGACTAACATAAATACAATTGTTTATTTTCATAAATAATTGAAATATAAACATTGAGGAAGAATTGATTTAATCTACTGCAGGAATTAGCAGGGAAACCTGTTTGCTTCAAAGGCTTGATGATGGCACCGGCCTGTGGATCACACATCTATCAGTAAAGCTTGAGCAGTGGGCGAATATATTGAGAAATATCACAGACAGAAGAGGGAGAGCTAACACTGACCGCTGATGACCTGTCCAAACAGCTCCTCTGGCGTGTCTCCAAAAAAAGGCACACACCCCACGAGGAACTCGTAGAGGATGATTCCCATCGCCCACCAGTCCACCGGCTTCCCATAACCTTGTCTCAGGATCACCTCAGGAGCAATATATTCAGGTGTTCCACAAACCTGTCGAGAATAACAGTATAAGGACGTATAATTAACATGATGAGGTTTGGAAATGATCAGACTGTCCATCTCTGCAGATAAATAAGATTTACCTGCTTATCGGAGAACTCTCTGGCATCTTTCTCTATATGTCCCTCATACAGGTTAGTGGTCATGTTCATCAGCCCAACTTTAGACAACCCAAAATCTGTGAGCTTAATGTGGCCCATCGAGGTCACCAGCAAACTGAGACCAAGAGAAACAAGAGGAAGAGGAGGAAAGGAAGGAAAAAATATGTTAATGTCACAATAAAATAAAAAATCAGACTCGTCACAACCAGTAATTATCAGTTGTCTTGCTCGATGTTTGTAAGATATTTTTAGCTTTTCGCCTTTAATTTAAATGTGGAGAGAGAACGGCGAAGACAAGCAGTAAAGAGCCAGGTTGGAGCCGACCCTGCTTTCACTGGAGGACTCGAGCCTCCATATGCATTTTAAGCAACTGGACTTTGAGTCTATGGCAGAAGATCAGCTTTGTGATGCTTCACTTGCACAAAGTACAGTTGAGTCTGATGGAATTGTCAGCGCTTGTCAAGAAGACATTTTTACTTTATGATGACACTCATTGAAAAGTTCATCAAAGTTATTAGACTTATTCTAATTGTGATTTTAGCCAAATTTTATGGCAAATTATCCGGCAGCTGCCCAAGTATTTCCGACTTAACCTCACGATGGCCGCAGGGAAAAGTCAGAGGACGACCTAAAATGATTTGGATTAATTCCCAACACACATTTAATGTCTGTATAAAATGTCCGTGGCAATCGACTGACAGACACCAGCTGACATTACAATCCCTAGAGCCAAACCATCAAATTTAATTTATAATAATAATTTCTAAAATTAACTTAGGTGTATATCAATAATTAAGTCTTTGTATGAAGGTGAAAGAGACAAGTGATTTATTTTTTGTTTAATTTCACAGACTTTGGGCATGTGCATGATGTCATCATTTCCCAAATGCTCCATTTCACATGTACACAAGAATACACCAAAACAGGAGAAAATCATTTTGGAAATCTCCAACTTAAAAAGTGTGTGGATGAGAGAAAGTCACCACAGCCTCCTGCCCAGAGTGACAGCTGTGTAATAAAAACGTTTCCCATGAGATCCTTTAAATGTAAAGATGTTGTTAAAGACAAAGAACATAAACATTTCTATTTTCCTGGTAGTGTTAAAAATCTGTGGAGTCTTACTTGTCTGGTTTTAGGTCCCGGTGGACAATGCCATAGTTGTGCAGATACTCCAGAGCCAGCACCGTCTCTGCAAAGTACATCCTGGCCATATCCACAGGCAGAGGACCCATGTTCTTCAAAAGGGTGGCGCAGTCTCCCCCTGTAGAGATCAATGGAGTGAAGTTACAGATGTCCTGGAGATTAGAGTACAGTGCTTTCAGCAGCAGCATTTTGCACTGAAAAACACAGATGCTGACCTTCCACATATTCCATGACCATGCACAGGTGCCGGCGAGTCTCAAAGGAGCAGTACATGGACACTACAAATGGGTTCTCAGCAAAGGTTAGGATGTCTCTTTCCACAAAGGCCTGTTGTATCTGGTTCCTCAATATCAGGTTCTGCTTGTTGATCTTTTTCATGGCAAAGCGCTGCTTGGTTTCCTTGTGCCGAACCAGATAAACAGCTCTGAGAAAAGAACAGTTTGCAAGTCAGATGGGGAAAGAACCAATTAAAGCAGCTCAACTTTCAAGAATGAATTTCTAGATTTGTTTTATTTGGCAGTGTCAGTGTCATATAGTGGAAACAGGGAAAAGAAACATAAAAGGGGGGAACAACAAAAAAAGAAAAAGCTAAAGATAACAAAATTCTGAAGGGGTTGTATGTTTGTGTAAATAACACGTCATCTACTAGACACTTAGATACTCTTTTATAGAATAAAATGTCTTTACCCATAGGCACCATTGCTGATGAGTTTTGTCATCTCGAAGTCCAATTCACAGGGTTTTCTCCGTGTCCGCAAGGCTGTGCTCAGGCTCTGACACTGGCAGCAAGAGACACACATTAAAACAAATCAAAAAGATATAATCTGTATTTCACTTTGCGCCTGTAAAAAAGATGGAAGAGATCGATACAACAATCAATTTCTGAGGACTTACAGAGTCGTCTGTTTCTGGGGTTTCTGCAATCCCGCTGTCACAGCTGGTCAGCTGAGCAATTTCTATGGAGAAAACATAAGAAATAAAAATCCAGGATGCAATTTATGAATAAATCTCTCAAATGTTATTTTTACAGCATGTATTGTTAAGTGACATTCTAAATGTTTTGCAGAGGAAAGAGAAGCTGATAATAACAAAGTGAATATGTAAACTTGAAAGCAAACCAAATGTGCACGAAGAATACAAATAATAATAGACTACAAATACACGAATAATAGATTAAAAACAATTTACCAAATGAAAGACAATTGCAAATAAACTAAAAAAGAGGAGAAACACATTTTAAAATAAATGACTATGAGTGAGTCAGGGGGCAATTTTCTGTCCAAAATTAACTGATCCAGACCTACACCTGATAAGTATTCTGTTTTTTGTGTTCAAACGCTACCCGAGTTTGATATTTTCCGCAATTACAGGCAAAGTGACAAGACCTGACCCAAATCTGAAAGTCTTTTCAAAGTGTTTGTCCAAACCCGGTTCAACTCAACAGGACCTGTCAGGACATGGTTTCTCCACTCTTTTGTGCAGAACAGACAAAAAACCAAAATGCTGAGGAATCAGGAAGTATAAACTCAGCAAATTTTGGCCTTTATTCACCTATTAAGCCTGGGGTGCTGACTGCTATGTAATCTGAATTGAGAATAAATGAGGCGGAAATCAGATGTGGCGACAGAAACACATGTCTAACACTCGTTTTGAAAATTGCTACTCCAGAACAAGTGCTCATTATAAACCACCTTGCATCTTTCAAGTTTTCTGTCCCTCTGTGTGTTTGTGTGCAACCATGCCAAAGTCCATGTGTGTAATTTCACGGGGGGCTGTGTGTCCTGTCCCCTGAGAGCCTGTAAACACATTTCCACTGCTATTTAACATCTGTCCTTCCTTGTAGGTTTGCTTCAGGCGCGCAAGGCATCGGGCAAACGGAACACAGGAGACACTCGGGGGAAATGAATGGAGACGCTGGCTGATGAGCCAGCCTGTGTGGATCTGTATAAGGTCTGTGGGGAGGCCATTCCTTTCTAATTAGTCGTAATGAATGTTGTTGGTTACTGAATCTGGTGTGACAGAGGGCCATTAAATAGACAGTCTGTTCCATACAGGACATTAGCCAAGAATATCTTTTGTCTTTTAGTTCCCTCAGCTCAATTCCATCATTTCTTAACAGCTTCATCTAAACTGTATTCAACTTCATATTTAATAAATGGCTGACGAGTTATTCTAAATGAAGGAAACAGAAATAGTGGATATATAAGAGTACTGTCATTCGTACCTTCCAGTGGATCTCGTGTGAGTCCCAGCTGACTGATGATGTACCGCGGGATGTCTGTTTTGATGCCCTGGCCCTCTTTAGCGTGCCCCTCTGCAGCCTCCAAAAGGTGGTAAAATTCCTCTGGGTCAAACTCCTGAAGACACAACAGCAGCACACTTTAGTATATTCTGCTATGAAAATACAGGTCAAGTAGACAATGCAACATTTAATTGAGCTGGGCAGCAAATATATCATTTGGAGTTGTGTTCTGGCCACTGACTAGTGTCAGTCCCACATTTACTCTCAATTATCTCAGTTTTTTGGTTGTTATCTCCTGAGGGAAAATTCTGCTAAGTGCTCTATCTGTCTGTTTACTCCTCAGCATGTAGTGCACAGTGAGTGCAATTAAGTGAAACTCAGTGTTAAACTCTGTATAATTGAGAAAAGCTGCAGGGTCAGGTGGAGACCAAACTCTTTCACATTACATTTATTTGATACCTTGTTTCCATAAAAATGTAAATCTATTGTTGCTGTATGTTGATTTAAGCAGGATGTCTATTGAGAAACATAATAATACTAACAGGACTGAAAGTACATATCACAGTGACCGAAAGATTGGCTCTTGAGTTGGCTCTCAAATGTATTTTCTAGGACCAACTATGAGGTAGAACATTGAGAACCAACCAGGATTTTTTTATTTTTACCCCAGTTGGTTTCCAGACTTCTCCATTGATGATGCGTTTCAACACTAAAACATTGTTGAGTTGATGTGGCCTTAATTGCTTCTAATAACTGAAATGTTAGCACAAGTTTTGGGGGAGTTGAGTGACATCAAACGTACCAGACATTCCAGCAACCGAGCAGGTCTGGCAATGATGATGAGGATCTTCTTCGCCAGCTCTCTGATGAAGTTTACCTCCTCGCTGTCTGACCTCTCTGTGGACTACATATACGACCAGAGAAGATACACATCTCATTTACACTGTTTTCACAACACATGTTGGTGTTTTGATTCCAAAAACATCTCTGATTTCTCAAGATGTGCTTACCTCCATAACAAGCCTCTCCAGTTTGTCAGTGAGTTCGCAGAAGTAGCTGGAGGTGATGAGTCCGAGCCGGCTCTTCTCCAGACAGTCACGGGCCAGCTCAATTATCTGGTGGTGGGCAAAGCCGAGCACGCCATCTGCCAAAGGGAGGACGCTCTCTGGAGAGTTGCTGCGGATGATATCCTGAATCCTTTCCTCCATCTGAGCTGTGGCCTGCAGTAAGAAGAGGATGTGTAAGTTTGATAAAGCATAAGAAAATAAACTTACTATAAATATTATTATATATGAATTATTGGGAACCTTTACCTTAGGAAACCGCTCCTTGTAGACGTGATTCATCATAATAATCTCATGGTCGTAACACGATGGAGATCTTCCAGGGCTGAAAAATAAATCAGAACAGGATCAGTGTCTCCAGTGGTGCGTGTTACCACATGAATATAATGTTACATTTGCAGAAGTGAATTAAAAACCTGAGACTGCGTGAGCGGGGTCGCATTGCTGTCGCTCTGCGGCATTCATCCCCGGAGATGCTCTCAGTGCAGAAGTGCTTGGAGAGGAAGTGCAGTTCATCGGGCGTAGGCTGGAAGGGCAGCTGGTGCAGCTTCTCCTGTGATGAACAGGATGACTGGAAATGAAACAAATATATATTCAACATGAAAAGAAAAAAGAAAGAGATGGTATTTTTTATATGGATCAAAAAAAAAAGACAAACAAAAAGGGAAGTCCTGTGTTGTGGCAGTTTCCCTCGGGTAACTGCCAAATCTACGTTTTGGGAAATATGGGTTGTAGATTTCTTGCCAAGAAAATCAATGAGAAGGTTGATACCACTAAAATATCAGTGCATAAAATATGAAAGTACAGCCAGGGACGGGGTTCTTAGCTTAGCATAAAGTCTGGAAGGGAAGTCTGGAAGTGCGCCCCTGTCACTCAGACAGCAACAACGGTTCACCTCTGCTTCATTCCCCAATGTGTGATCATGAGTGAAAGACAAGTTCCTACATGAGAGAGATAAATGCCTCGCATGCCACTTGCCGGTTATGTTGCAAATAGTGCTGCACACAGCTGTACAATGCAGCACGGAGCAAAACACCATGTTAGAGATCTCTTTTATTATGATGAGAAATGTCTGCATTTTGGGGTTCATTATCAAACTGAGACAAATTAGAATACGGCTGGTGAAACACTGGGGAAATCAGAAGTTGTAATTTTTACATTTGAGTTTTTGGATGGATTATATAAGACATAATGTATTATCTATATCAGCTTCTCCCTCTGCTCCCAGTCTTAATGCTAAGAGGCTAACCAACTGCTGGCTGGTGGCGAACCCTTACGGGAGCAGCCAAGATGAAGCAACATCCTCATCTAACCCTGCTAACTCCAATGTCTGCATCGCATTCACAGTTTATTAAAGAAACCGTTGCACTGAATAACTCAACTCTGAGCCTGACTCCTGCCACATATCAAAGAACCACTAATGCTTCTTCCAGAACTTGACTCATGAGAGATATCAGCGACGTTTTACCAGAGCAACAAGAACATGTTTCCTTCGATAGATGGTGTGAATGGCAGGAAATGTATTTCTTTACCAGACACCAGACAAAACAAAAATGTAATCTCTAATTCCAGTAAATGTGTTGTCAGTGCGCACAAGTGTTGTCTATGCTAGCTGTGTCTGCTTTCTGAAATGAATATGCTGATTTATCTGAATACAATTGTTTTCTTTCGAAGTTGGAGAGAGAGAGGAAGATGCAGAGACCGAGGAAGTCGACACAATAAGAGACTCTCGGTGACGGGGGGGTTGTGGGTGTTAGTGTTTGTTCAAGTGCCTGCTTGTAAGCCATGTTTTCTCTACAGCAAATCTTTTGGCCCTCTTACAGAGTATTTGTACACAAAGACTCTCCATATGCATCCTCAGAGAAGACTAATCACCAGAGTGAGCCAGACTCGTGTGAACACAGCAAACATGAGAAAAGCTGAGTTGCACATTCAAGTCTTTTTATCCTCACTCTTTCTTTAGTTATTCACGGTGACTTAAAAAGACAAACTTTCTAATGTTTTAGCATTATTAGAATTGTGGTTTAATTACGGCTGAATTATTTTACATAGAAACTAAAAGGGAACCACAAAGGACAATTCCCCACAAGGCTGCCTGGCCACTTTATCACCATATTGCATATTCTGTACATGTATTGAAATCTGATACATCTGGATCATTATCTGATCTGCACCAAGTTTAATCTGTTGACAGATATGAGCATATACCTGATTTTCTAATAGAGATCTCTTCTAGAGAAGTTCAGAATAATTTTGAAGATATCAATGTTAAAATAGAGATAAAAATCTGGATCTGATTTGGATCCTCACAAAATTCAGGAGGTTCTTTCCTGAGCCTTTCCAAGATTAGTTGTAATCTGTCCAGGAGAAAGAAATCTTTGATATCCCCTCATTAGTAGGCTCGGTCTTTGCAGTGTGTGTGTGAACAGCAGCACATCTTTTTTATAAACAATCATGGTGAACCGCCCACATCAACACTAGACAGGTGTTAGTTCCTCTAAATGACAGCTGGTGAAAAGACCTCTCGGAAAGTCTTTGGGAATCAAACCAGGACTTGAAGTTGTATTAGTGAATAAAATGTGTGACAGGTAAATTAGTCAACTTTGGCAAAGAAGACTTAAAAGCAACTTTTCTGTGACTGTCTGCAAAAATGTTAAGTTTGGTATAATCACATCTTGTTTGATACTGAGTCCACCACAAATAAAGACCTGTAGTTTAATTAAGATTAAATAATCAAAACATTGGTCAGACTAAATCATCAAATCATTCAACGCATCTTTTAACTACTGGATTCTGCTTATCTTACAGATATGTTTGACCTGCTGTAATGTCTGATCAGTTGCGTAGATACTTACAGAGACAGTGGAGCTGGGTGTGTTGGTTCCATATCCAGAGGATGGAAGGGAGGCCAAAGACCAGCGACGACCGTCAGTCCTGTCACGCAACATCACAGAAGAACAGCAAACTGTCACACTTGATAATCCAAAACTGAATTGATGAACAAACAAATGATCAAAACACACATGTCCATTTACTTAGAGTGATAGTCAGTGATGGAAATTTGTCTTAGTTCAAAGACAAATCAGCTTAATTGTCTTTAGGAACTGTAAATATGTTTAATTTCCATGTTTGTAGGTAAAACATGTGACATAACTTCAACAGTCCTGATGATCACATGGTTAAAATGAACAATGGTCTTTCTCTGCTACTGTTCTAAATAAAGTCTTGAACTACACTGCACAGAAAAGCAGAAGATAGAGCAACAAATAAAGCGACTGAAAGTTAAACTGAAACTTGATGCTAAAATGAAGTAAAACAGCATTTCAGAGTTTAGATATAAAAAATAATGAAGAATGGAGTATGAACTCTAACATGTACTTCACAAATGTGGGGAAATGAAAACATAAAAGCAAAAGCCTAATATGAAGTTACCTGTCTGCTCTGTGGCAATGACTGTGGATTATAATAAAAATACACAATAGCATTACAATGAGAAATGTAATGTAATAAATTAACTGTTTTTGAAAACAGAAACAACGAAACAGAATATTTCAACTAAAGAAAATAGCAGCTGAAATTGTTACAACATTATTTACGTCTTCTTTGTGTAGCAATAAATCATAGACTGTAAATAAAGATGGACGAATCTTCCTCCCACTATCCACAAATGAAGCCAAAATATCCTGGATATGAAAACACGGCCATCTTGCATCGCTGCAGTGGCGAGGTCCTGCTGATAGCGATGTTTAACCCAATTTTATATCATCGAATGACTAACTAAAACTAAACTTATTAGAAAACACACATTTAAGAGAAAAGTATTTGACGTGTACTTTGAGTTTTTAGTTAGGTCCAAGTCCCATCAACTAACATGGAGGAGGCAGGATTTGTGACCTACAATGCAGCCAACCACTGGTTTGGCTTCACTTTTGGGGAGCAGTCATGACATCCATCTTTATATACAGTCTGTGCTGTAAACAGAGTCATTATCTGTGTGTGTGTGTGTTTTACCTTCGTGCAAAGGAAAAATGAGCAGAGGCACTCGGGGAGAAGTTTCTAGGACTGTCTTGTGGGCTTGTTCCTGCAGGAAAAAAGAGGAAGAGATAAAACAAATTAAAAAAAAGGAAAACAACACAGGATTCCAATCCAATTGCAGCAAAAACATACAGGCTGACAGAAAACTGCTCATGGTACAGTCCATTTAAAAAAAGTCATATTTCTTTCTAAAACATACAAATTACTGATGTCTGGACATTTTACTTAATATTCCATTAAAGATAACATTTCTGTAATATCATTTTTTTACTGCATTTCAGGTGATGGAACAGCTTTAGATATTCAGCTCGAGTGACATTAGAAATATTTGCGGGAAGTACTGTATATAACTTTATTTGTATAGTACCTTTCATACAAGAAATGCAGCTCTATTGTATGTAAAGTGCTTTACATACAATAGATACAAATGTTAAAATGTAATTAAAATAAAAAGAGAACTGATTTTAAGAAATATTATAACGTGTCAAATGACATTCAAAAGAAAAGCATAAAAACAGAAAGAAAGAAAGTGATAAAAAAAAACATGCAGTGCAGTAGTGCGGGCAAGTGCAAGATGTAGTTAAAGGCTGAAGAAAATAGAAGTTGTTAATGCTCCAGAGCTACTTCAAAATTATTCCTTGTCATTCGTGAGTCTTCCTCAAATATACTGTCACTTTTTATTGTTTGTGTGCTGAGCTTTTTACAATGTGATAACTTATTGTATCTCACCCATACTTCTGTCTGTCTCTAATCAACCTCAACATTAACCATGCTTCACATGAGAATACGGAATAGTAAGTAAAGTAGGTTCAGTCCACAGTTGCTGTAGTTTGATGTATTGCAGTACTAAATACTACCGTGAACTACTTGTGAGAGTTTGAAACCAGGTCAGCAGCCGGGCAAACTTAATACATCCACAGCTCATTCCACAGAATCATGTTCATAAACAACATCTTCAATCAAGTGCACATTGTTGTGGACATTTTGCAGCTACGCACGCAGCCTGTTTGGCTTCAAGTCAGATGTCATCTATATCCTCATATCTCTTATCCCACTTTACTGCCAGTAATTACAAAACAGTACGCATGGAGCCATTTGTTTTTAAAAGCCAGCTGGTTTTCACATCGCGTGCAAAACCGAGTCTGAATGTCAAACAAGTGATGCCCGATGGCAGCGTAGTTTAATATTCTCTTCTTGCTGATCTTTAATGATTGAACTTCTGAGAGGCAGTGATTTGCTTTGCAAGTGTGATAAACCTGGAGAGGTCTGACACACATAACTTATCAAAACTGCCTTGATGTTGCTCTAAAAATGTGTTCGAGATACAAGGTAAGAGCTTTATGTGCAGTTCAGCTTCAGGTTTATTAAAAGTACACATCATGCAAAGAGCCTCTGCACATTTAGAAAGTTAAATTGAACATCAGACTCTGAAACTTTGCACATAAAATCACACAAGCAGAATCCCAATCATGCAGGTATGACTGTCAATATAAAAACACGGATGCCAATCCATTTAAAAATGTTTAAGTCTGGAGGGTTTGAACATAAGCCCTCACTTGTATCGGAAGCCAGAATTGCCAAGTCTGCCAAAAATGTGAATTTGTGTTTTTAAGTCAATTGAAAAATAAGATTTAAAAAAAATATGGTTGCTTGTTAGGAAGATCAGGTCAGCAACCTAATTATTTACGTTTATCCCCCTATTATTGTGCTTGCTTTTGAAGCTGTGGTTACTTATTTGTCTTGTGAGAGTTGGCAACACTGTTGGTGACAGAATGTCTATCTTGTTAAGGACTCTGGCAGCTGTGTTTTGGATCAAGTGAAGGCCTCTTGTTGCCGTCATGTTTAGGCCACAGAAACATGCACTGAAGCCGACAATTTTGGATGTTATAGCAGCATCTATAAGGATTTTGGCACCTGAACTGGATACAATGAGGCATCTTGAATGTTAGATAGCTATAAGAAGGCAGTTTCTTCTCAGTAATGTAATACACACCGTTGCTAGGTTCCCCTGTTAGGTACAGTGAAAGCTTTTTGTCATGTTTATGCATATGTCAGATTAATGTTAATGCTCCATCTAGCTTCAATCAAACATAATAGCACATTTATGGAAATCCAGGTGCTTGCATGGTATTTGGCACAGAGAGAACAGCGGTGTGTGAACACGGTGTGTATGTGCGTTCTTTTACAGTCTGCATCACAAATTGTTGTTCAAACTTATTATGCTAGTGGACATTCGCTCCCTCTTCACACAATTGAATTCAATTTTCATATATATTTCGTAATTTTACTAAAGAGCAGATTTTGCTGCCGGTTTAATAAATGCAACATGCATGAGCATTGATTGGTTTGCTAGGTTTATTCATTTATTTTTCCATGCAGACACTGCCGGCCTATTTCTTTAACTTCTTTTTGCACTGTATAGGGGAAAAGTACTTTTTGGTGGGAAGGTTAATGTGTTGAATTCTTAAAGCCTAAAAGATGAGATCATTGTTTTAAAATGATTTTAAATAAGTTGACATCACCAGACACACGCTTCTCATTCTGTCTGTATGCTTTACCTTGTGCTGCTGCAGCTCATATCTTGTGACATGTTCACAGTGTTAAGGAAACCCTACGAGGTTGACCTTGACTTGGTCAAAAAAAGACTCTTGGCCTTATTCAGAAGTGACATATTAGGCTATAATAAGAATAAGTGCATGTCTAAAAGTGAGATATATTAAGATATTTATGGTTTGAAGAGGATCACTTTCACTTACTGTACTGTAAGTGGAAGTGATCCTCTATCTACACAATTTCCCCTAATAACTAAGCAGACTTCTTTACCTACATTACTTAGTTTGCATACTGTTTTTACCTTGAACGTATTATATTGCAGGGACATTCTGAAGAGCACCAATTAGCCTTTGTGTTCCCATCCTTAGTGTATAAACAAACCTATGGTCCAGTATTAATCAGTCATAATTACATCCGTCACTAAGGGGGGGGGGGCAAAAAGTTAATTAACCACAAGCTACAATACCACCACCTCCAGTGATGACAAAGACGGGGCCTTTTTCTTTCTGGGGAACAATGATGGAGCCACTGAATCTTGTTAGTGATGAATGTCACCCCCTTAATTGCACTGTTATCTTGATTACAGCCAATTACACAGGATAACCTCCTCCTATGGGAGCTGGCCTGCACCTTAACAGAGGATACATGTCATCTTCTCTGACTGCAAGAACAATAACTGAGTGGAACAACATGAAACATGGAAGAAAAAGATCTGATCTTCAGTATATAGACACCTGCTTAATTATTGTACATGACAAGAATGCACAAGGATGTTTTTCTTACCTTTGGTACCAATATTACGTCTGAGCCACAATGTTAGGTCATCCCAAGCAGGAACACATTCGTTAGAGAGGACCCTGTGCCTGTCTGACTCTGAGTCCATCCTTACAGACTGAGCCCTTTCTTTAGCTTGAACTACAGACTATACACTCCGACATACCCCCCTGCTTTCACTGACCAATGCCAGGAAATAAAACGCCCTCTGGTAAATGAGGCCTCCCCTCCCTCTGCTCCTGTGCATTTCCTCTCTGCAGGCCACCACTTCCTCACCCAGCACAATCACTGCCTGTCGCCTCCCAACTATACAGTTAAATTCTCACCCAGACGCAACAGAGCTGACCTCACACATGAGGGACAATAAACATTTCATTTTTTAGTCCTTTGCTCTCTGCGCCAGATAACCCAGTCTGCATCTTATGTTGTTAAGTATAGGCATCAAGTATATCGTGTGTATCTCTTGAACAAGGAAACATAGATAAAACACATTAGTAGACATCTGTATGCAGTGTACTGAGGTTCTTTAAAAACTCCTGTGTCAGGATCAGAAGGGAGGGTTCCAGTGTATGGATTGCTGGGCCTCAGCCTGGGATTTTAACATTGTGTGTATTGTGTTATTTGATGTTCCCATGGTTGGGCTGTTTGTTGATTCGTGTCAGTGGTGGTCAGTTATTTTACATGTTGTAGGGCCGTATAATCATGGGGCATAACATTATCCTTACCTGTAAGAGATGAGAGAGGTGAGTGAGGTCTTGGTAAACCTGAGGACTGACCGCTTCCTATCAGGCTTTTTCTGTTGCTCGTTCTGCAGCTGTAAAATCACAGAGGCAGATATTAGTCAAGACAATAGACAAAGAAACTACTTGGCACAAATACATTTACCGAACCCTGGTAACACAGGCTTAGTTTCAGGATATCTTTGTATAACACAGAGGGATTAAAGGAACCAGCAAAACCAGTGGAAGCAAAGAAAGGCCTTGATCATTTCAATTTCAGAAGCACTGGAATATCTACTGTTTATTAATGTTAAAATTTAAATACCAGTGATTTTACTGCACTGACCCTCTTCTCTCTGAATTGATGTGGTTTGAATTCCCCTTTGGAAATTTCCACAAAAAATATTCTAAATTGTTGTTGTGAGGATGTCACTCTACAACTGTGGTCCAGAATAAAATATTTTAACAATCCCATGATTTACATTCATAGTCCTCTGAAGATGAATCCCTCAGAATGCGTTCATGTTTGCTGGTCATGTTAATACAGGGCTGTGATTCACGAGGAGCCACTGTGATAAGTGTGACTCATAAATGAAGCCCAGTTTTTGACCTTGAGTGAAAAATGAAATATTTTTGACACAAATGCAGAGAGCGTTCAATGTCCCAATTAGTCATGGGTTTCTACTCTGAAATTAGAGAGTGTCAGTGGAAACGTATAAAGCCTGAAGAATATGAATTCACTTCAAGGTCAGAGACTCAGTGACATCCGCTTACATAACCTCCTCAGAGAACTGAACCAATTCCAACTGAATCTTTAGATGCTGCTCTGTAATAATTTCAATCCTGCGCGTATTATGAACAACATATATACAAATGTATGACATCGTTTTTACTCAGACTTTAAATATTGAAGCCAGGAGCTGAGAGGACATTATAGGAAAAACAAAATGCTGCTTTACTCCAGAGACAGAGATACATGACAACACTCCATGTAGGGGAGAGTGAGAGAGAAAGTGTCAGTCACATTTTCAGCTCTCCTGTGTGTGTGTGTGCTAGAGCAATCACACACAACGTTCACATGGGCTTCTGCAATGACGCAGAAATGCATGAGCAGGGAGCCTTCATCTCTTTGTCAACACAGGTGCTGCTGCAGAGACCTCAAAGCTTCAGTGTCAAATCAGCAAATATTAAAGAAGTGTCATTTTTATCTGAGCTGATATTGATAATATAATAATACATTTTGGATTTATCACTATCAATTACGTACTCAGGCTTATGTGAGACGTCCATGTTTGTTTGTTTTTTCATGTGACATTATATAGCGGCAAGCCAGAGGTACATGTTTTACAAAGTGATAATAACACACATTACACATAAAAACATATATGAGCTCTGATAGCTGAAAGATATTTGCTTGTTTTCACATCCTAAAAACTGCTGCGTTTACAGTCATTACTATCAGTATCACCTCTGTGTTTGGGAAACTAATCAGCTTAAAATCATCCGTGTGCCTCCAGCAAATCCTTCATCCTCACGCTCACAGAAATTCATGTGAAAAAGAACATCACTACACCAATAGCCATGTGAAATAGAATCCACATTTGACCCTGTCTTTGGGTCTTATAGCTGCTCCACTTGCAGAGCAAACAATAATGCTGTGGGAAAATTTCACAGACGAATACACAAATCAGTCGTGTCTAACTAGAGTTAGTTTTAGAGCCCTGAAGACCAAGCTGTTTATTAATGCTTACTCTACATGCATATTCAAGTGTTTTGGAGGGATAAGTGCAGATGCACAGGGGGCCTGTGGTTGATTTTTGTGCTCCTGCTGGTGTTGATTATCTTTGCGGACGATTTCCCACAAATTTGATGCATCGACTTAACAATGACACCAGAATCACAGAGGACACAGGGAGGTTTGCTCCTGCCAAATGACTGAGCAATTCACCACATAGTAATGTGACTTTGATGACTATAGATGGGAGGATTCAAATTTCAATGGTGCGTAGAGGTACACAACCAATTTGTGGTATTTGGATATTCAACAAACAAATGATCTTCAAGCAGGGGCGATTAGTTAGAACTTTGCATTATAGGGCTTGTGTGGAGAAGATAAAAGCCTTTGTATCAATGGATCACAATTACTGTACAAGATGTGAATATAGAGGAAAATATAAATTAGTTTGTACATTACAGAGCAGCTCAGCTCACATTTTTCTGTCTGAGCCCATTGGAGCACAAGAGAAAACTAACCGTGCCTGACCTGAACCTGACTGGCTGAACCCAACCTGAGCCTGATAGAATGAATGTAGTGTGAGTTTGTGTGACCCTGTCCCTGACAGACTCATGCAGTGTAAAAAAAATTTAATAAATCAGGATATAGGACTGACCCAACCCCGACTATCGATTCAAAATCTTTGTCCAAACGCTACGCATTTTGGGTATCGACACTCAATTGTACATGCCTCCAGTCTTGTTGATGGCCCATTGTAAATGTTCTGTATTTGTATTCTAGTCTTACCGGCCACCGACCTTCAGATTAGCGGACGACCGTAGCCTCCCCGCTGCCACACCAAAATCTAAATTCATCTGCATAAATCAGAAGGGAAACCCGATTTGGACTTAAATCCTTGTTTACTCAAGTGGTTTGTCGGGCTAACCCCTGCGTTCAGCAGCGTGGACACATGTCATGAATCATTTATCGTGGTGGGGAGGGAGTGAATAATATCTGGTACACAGGTGCTCAGTCAAAGAGGATCAGATTTAACGAGGTCTATTTATACTCTCTCACTGTGGATTAGGCCAAGAGAATGACACACTGCGGCCCAATCAACCCTCCTGTTGCCTCACTCTCTCACCAGCCGTCCCAGTGTTTTATACCCCCATTAGAGAGCTGAGTGCCACTCATGGAGACAATCACATGGATCACTTTACAGAAATCTGCCACAGGTTATGATGGCATGCAGGTCGTCTTTGTCACAGTTGAAGCTAAGCTGAGCTCTGGTGGAGGCACCTCTGTGGCCACAAAGACGGAGTGATACTGTGATGGGATAGCGAGGCTTTAAACGGGGGATAAAGAAGCCCTGGGCGAAGATGATAGGGAGAAAGTAGGCCAGTGTTGTATGCTGTATACTGCAGATGTGGGATTCCTGGAACAGATCCATAGGAGGTTTAACAGTCTTGGTTATATGCTAAACCCTGAACCTCATCAAACCATTGTTGTAATACACATGGAATCTACACAAGCAGGTTACAGAGCTTTTCTGCACTGACTAAAAATACTCAAAGATCCTATAATTTAAGTTATAGATACTTTAAAGGTACAGTGTGTAGAATTTTGTGATATGTAGTGTTGAAGTTGCATGTTGCAGCTGAACACCCCTCACCTCACCCTCTCCTTCCAAAAGGGAAAAAGAACCTGTGGTAGCTTCAGTTGTCATAAAAACTCAAAAGGTGTTTAGTTTGTCCAGTCTGGACTAATGTAAAAAACATGGCGGCCTCTGTAGAGAGGGTCCCCTCGATGTAAATATAAAGTATTTAAATATAAAGGGCCTTTTCTGGGGTAAAGAAAACTACAATTCATACAATTTAGATGAAATTAACTAGTGAAAACATCATGAGGATTATTCTACATTAAATTTCTGCCAATAGTTCCCTTTCACCTAAATCTTACACACTGGACCTATAACTAAAGCATCATGGTTTAAATATTTACCAGCACTTATTTACTCTTTTCTCCTTTACTTTTTTTGACCTAGATTACTTCAACTCTTTATTATTACAAAGTAATCTCAATCTGTCAAAGTCAGTGTCTTAGATTTCAGTGTGATTACTTATTTTTGGGTACGGAAGGAGACGAAAATAGATCAAAACCCTTTGATTCTCTGAATTACTGTGAATATGGATACATCTGAAATGTCTCATCCTGACCCCTGTCAACGAAAAGCCACGATTAATATTTTTTACTTCTGCCAGTTTTGCTCTTTTATCAGAGCTGTCAGGTGAGCTGACAAAGCGCACTGCCAAATAAATTGCTGTTTGTTGCTGACAAACCTAAACTCAAAGTCAGACATATGACACACTCGACTCTAATAATAGAATTAAAAAAACTTGCCATTTTGGTAAAAAGCACTGTGGATGAGTTTTGTAACCAGCAATGACAGATGTTTACTTTAGGCTACTACCAGTTTCTACATCTGAAGATGACATGGTCTCACAGAGATGCAGCTTTGTCAAGTGTCTTCTCAATATAGTGCATGACGTAGCTACCTTAGCACCTGACATCCATATTTTGCTTATGGAAGTTATGATAAGTGACACGGTTTCCTTATATCTGAGTATTCTTTACATAATTCAAATGCAAGCAAGGGATAGAGGACAATACTGTTGTGACATGAAGTGAAAAACATTCTCTACATGCAAAGTATTTTAAAGGGTAACCGCCATTATAACAGATTTCATGTCAAGGTCATTTGCAAACTTCAAATCCTCAGTATTAAATTAAATCATCATCTTTACATTCATTTCTAACAAACAACAAAGTCACATTTACAGCACAAAGCTCCAGTTATCAATATCTACAGGACTAAATTTAACAGTGGTTTTTCAAATGAAAAACATTCACGAAAGTAAGATGTCCAAAAGCAGCCAGTATTTCATGTTAAGCTGTTCTACACTATAAAATAGGTCAGGACAGGGATTAAAAATAAATATCAGTCATATGGGCTTCACTGATTCTGTAGTCCCACCATATACAAAAAACTGGGATAAAGTGGCTTAGCTACAAACCAGTGTCTCTTCACTGACTGTAAATCCCATGGAGCTATGAAGCATTTTTAAATCCAGCAAAGAAATGTTATAAAGTCAAACGAAACACGGGACACAGTAGAAACCACAACATTTTCGATGGACAGAAACTACAACAATCAGTAACAGCAATCTAAAAGAACAATCAGTGGTTCCACTTTTCATATGTTAATCACTGGGGGTGACATAAGAGAAAGTACATCCTGTGTAAAGAACATGAGACAGCCTCAACAACAAACATTCAATTTACCCTTTTACTCACAAAGCAAATAATACACAATAGGAGAGC